CGGGAGCGCGAGCTGGACCGAGCCCCGCAGAGCCGCGCAGAGCCCACCCCGACCCCAGCCTGCTCCCTTCTCACTTCTGAGAAGCCAGCGGCAGCGTACTTGTGCAACGGTTGAATTTTGGCACGAGTTTTAAAGGTAAAATACCGACGAGCTGCTGTCTGCTACTTCAGGGCAGGCCGGACTGCGAACCCACTCGTTCGCAACGCGGGGAAGCCCTCAGGTGCGGGCCTGGCTGCCCACGATCGCCAGGGCCAAGGGCCTCAAAGTAACTACGTTTCACTTCCCTGGCTCATAAAAGACGGTATTAAAACGGACACTATGTAATTTACTAAAGCAAGATTAATAAATCTGATTTAAAAGAACTTTTAAAAAAATCTTCAAGTATTCTTAATGGGGTTTCAAAAATAACTACCAAAATCAAACAGTTAAATGAGAATTAAAGTTCCCTCGAAATAATGTGATGCCAATGCTACAATGTTGTATATTTTCAATTCATACTTAAAATACGATGAGGAAGGCGCTACTTTCTTAAATTATTTGCATGCCCTTGAAGCTCTAGACTCTATCAAGCACTTTCCTATTTCCAAAGATTCAACATTAACCTGAGACTTCTGTCCAACAATAGTTTATGCATGAATAAGCTGCATTGATAGGTACATGAAGTAGCTGCTAAGTGAAAGGACATTACCTGGTAAATTGACAGGAAAAGAGTCCACAGACAGTCTGTAAACCAATTAAACATAAACATCTGATGCACATTTTCTACTGAAAGAAAAGCAAGGGAAAGAAGAGAAAGGAAAACTTTAGGGTTCCCAAGTCTACAAACAAATTGTACCATTAACTGTACTGTACAGTATTTCAATTTATTTTTAAGAAAATATACAAAGTGTTTTTTTTCAGGATTCCTCGTGCAAATAAAATATTCACCATTGATAAACAGTTTCTAGGAGCTACCCTGTTAATACTTTGGACCCAAAAAAACAAAATGACCTCATTAAAAATACCAGTTCATCCAATGAGTTGGATGCACTTGAGGAAAGAGCTGAAGGCAAAGAACAATGGATGTGTGGACCTGTGGGGGCACAGATCAAAGCAAGGAAGGGCCAGCGGAGAGTGGCCATGCAGGCTCGGACCGTGGGATCAAGGGGGTGCGCCACTAAACAGTGAAGTGTTAATGCGTGAAGCTTAGCTGGCTGGAAAACGAACGTTGCTAAAATACAAGGTATAAGGATAACTTGCTTGCTTTCAGTCCACAGAATCTCTGATTGTGCAGTTAAAGGACCAAGAAATGGCTCAACTGTGACAAAAAGCAGGAGCTCAGGATCCCTTACGCAACTGGATGAATCCTGAAAGTCAGCAAAACTGAGTCTGAGACATTTCTCAATGGGCATTCTTATGACTCTTAAATGATATGGAAGTTTATTAACATTGTTTGGCAATGTTAACTTTAAATGGTTTTACTGTTTAGGGGAAAAAGCTTCCTCTACGTTGTTCCTTCTTTTTTAATACATGTGGGTTTGGCTTTTAGGATCAGACATCATTCTAAGGTAGAGAGAAACAACTCTAACACTGTTAAGTTATAGGTAATTTTCGCATTCCCTCTGGACTCAGTATACTTCTGTCTCATTTTATCCTAGTGAGCTACTTATCTTTAATAGTTTCAGAGGACACCTTGCTCTTCAGAATCAACCATGTAAGAAATAAGCATTCATTAGTCACAGAATCTGTGTTGGGTGGGCACTTACGTTAATGCTTCTACTGCTGGGCTTGCTATAGCTCAACTCCTCTTATAACTCACTATAGCTATAAGGAGCCTGCTCTCTCCAGAAAAGCTCAGATCCTGTCATTTATTCAGCCAGAGTCAACTCAGGTCACTTTCATCCATTATTCCTAGTTCTTCAGCACTTTGGATTTATTCAACAGATATCTTCTTTGTATTCAAATGCAAAGTCAAGAATTTGGGTTAAAAAATACAACTTTAGAGCCTACGGATATGAGAAGGGATGAAAACTGGACACAATAGGGCTACAGACTTGAGAAAATCCACCCTTAACTATCACCTTTCAAAATCAGCACATTTTGTGTGTACTCATGTGATATCCAAAATGGTAGCTCTCTAAGAACTGTGTAGTAAAATGCTTAAAGTGCAGTTAATCCCAATTTTGACGTCTATGATTTATGTCCCAAAACAAAAATATCACTATACAGTCTAAATAAATGCCTCTTTAGATCTTTTTCCCCCACCAAATATCCTTATTTTTAGCAAATACTAATTTCCCACATTAAGCTACTCACAACTGCTGTTATATTGGGAAATTTATTTTTAAGCAGTTTACTGACTCCATTCCACAGTTATTAAGCAGTATTTCAGCAGCTATCAGGCACATGCACACATATGTATACTCACACACACAGGAACCCTTCAGAAATATTTTGCTGTTGAAAGATGCACTTAGGGTCACAATTTTACCTCAACAAGTACCTTAAACTAATAAGCTGCTTTTACATTTGCATACATCTAAGAAATATAACCTTTTATTTGGTACCAACAACTGATTCAAATAGAAGTCAAATAGTCATGTACTCTAAGGGCATAAGTTTATGCAACTCACAAAGGTACCTCTCAAAATGCAAGGACAAAATCCTGTAACTTTCCAATGTGGAGTTGCTTGCCTGAAACAAACAAATACAATATATCCAAAACCCTAAAAGCAAATTCTGTATCTAATAATTCCCAGGTCCCATGAGTCTTCCCTTATTTGTAAACTACTAAAATTTTTCTTTAAAAGTGACAGCCTGCATCACATCTTCGTGACTGGAGGGTAAAAATTAATGGCTAATTGCAACTTTGCTTGTGAATGTCTAAATACAAAAACCCCATTTTCTTAAAAGACATTTGAGATAAACTGAGTTTACCTTTAGCAGGCAGAATGCAGGTTGCAAAAGCAGAATTGCATTACATCTGGAAGCCCCACATCTATGCAACAATAAGCGTTCTTTTTGTTAGTCTTTTATTATTAAAAACACCCTAAAACACTTTACTAGCCTTCTGGTTCTTCAAAGAACAATTTTATTTTTCTTTACATGGTCTCTACATAGTTTTTATTAAGTGGCTCCATTGTATCGATATGTTTGTTACAAACTACAAAGCTTGCAGTTCTTACACTGCTGTTACTTTTCTCTCACCCCAGCTCTGGAAATGACTGGCCCCTGAGCAGTTCCCAAACACTGGAACGCAGCGGTCACACATTCCTTGAGGGAGTCTGCATTTCCCCTCCCTTCAACGCCAAGTGCGCCCCTGCCTACCAGCATCACATCCGTCTTCTCTGCATTGAACCTCAACCAGTTGGTTCTTAACCACGTCCGAAACTCAGCCAGGCACTGGGAGAATCGAGCCACCACACCATCTGGATTAAAGGAAAGAAAGCCTCAGTAGCGACTAGACAGAACCCACCACGCTAGCTCAAGCTCACCATGCATCCCGTCTCTCATTTTTAAAACGATGGCTGGGAACTGGGTCAAGGAGCCCACGACAGCGTCGGAATAACATGAATGCACCTGGAGCCATGCAACTTGCAATCACTGGTAAAGAAAGGAAAGAGATCCAAAAATTGGGTCGCCGTACTTCACCCATCCTTGAAGCTTTAGTCAACTCTGGGTTATCTCAGCTAAGCGGCCGCAGTAGGCCGATTTTATAACTGCACAACGCTTTCTGCAAAATCTTATTTTTAATGGTGGAGGGAGCTTTAAAAAGAGAAACCTGAAGCTCAGAGAGGAGCAGTGATTCGCCCTGGTCACACAGCACGCGAGGACCAGAACCCGGCTCCAGGCCAGGGACCGTTCCATCACGAGCTGAAAGAACAAGGCCACGCCGAGGGAGCAGGCAAGGCTGGGAGGCCCTCGTTCCCGGCCGGCAGGACCCTCTTAGGGACGCCCATTCCTCCTCCACTCCCGAAGCAGAAGCGGGCTGGTCCAGCATCCCGCAGTGCAGCCAGGAGCCTCCCGGCCCGGACCCGCCGCGGGGAAAGAGGTGGAGCCACAGGGGAGTGGTCACTTAGCCCCACCCCGACGGCATCCAGGGCCGACAGAAGCAAGGGGCGGAAGCGAAAGGCGCGAGACGAACTCACTCCGCAGCGGACGCCCAGCGAGCTGCGGACACCAGGC